TGGGCAACTTGGCGAGACCTCATCTCTACAGTAAATCAAAAAATTAGTCGGGCATGGTAGCACGTGCCTGTAGTTCCAGCTACTGGGAAGGCTGAAGCGGAAGGATCGCCGGAGCCCAGCAGGTCAAGGCTACAGTGACCAGGAGCGTGCCACTGCACTCCAGTCTGGGCGACAGAGTGAGACTCCAACTCAAAAAAAATAAATAAATAAAAATAATTAAGTTAATAAATTGCATGCTATTTGTATTTTACCATAATTAGAAAATATATATTTTAAATTGCAAGAGTGGTTCAAAAAACTTCTAAATATCTGTCACCAAGACTTTTAGCCTTTGACTATATTTTTTAGCCTTTGATTTTTAGCCTTTGACTATATTTTCTTTGCCATTCTCTCTCTAAATATACGTTACATTTTTCTAAATAATTCAAAAGTAAATTGCAGAAATTAGCTCCCTTAACCACCAAGAACTGCAGTGTGTGTTTCCTAAGGACAAGGAGATTCTCTTCCATAATATGGTACAATTATCAACATCAGGAAATATAATACTATGATCTCATCCACAGTTCATTTTCACACATCACTGAAGGGCATCAATCATCCATTTTCTTCTAGATCCTGATTTTCTGTAGAGGGTGGGAAGGCTTTGGAAGTAGGAGAATAGGTGGGGACAAGAAAAAAGAGGGGGTGAGGGGCCCTGCTCAGCCCCTGGGGTGGGGGCCAGGCATGCAGAACACCTCCTGGGCTGCTCACACTGTACAGACGATAACCGTAAAACTCTGCAAAGGGACATGTCTGACTCTGCCACCTCCCACTGCCCCAACTCTCTCAAGTGTTTGTTCCCAGAGTCAGGAGCCTTGGAGCAGCCATGAAAAACCTTTGTTCCAGTTTGGTTCTGCTTTTCAGCCACCTGGAAGCGACTACTCACCCTCATTGTCTGCTCTGAGCCAGTGATCACAAACTCTGCAACTTAGCAGCCCTGAAGTCAAGCCTCACAAATCCCCAAATTGTAGAAAGGTATCGTGGCAGCATGGCCTCTAGGTGTGCTGTCAAGAAAGTGTTTCTCTCTGATGCAGCTGCTTAGACTTTCCATAATTGGAAGGTAATACTTCCCACCAGTGATATAAAGAGAACAGAAGATTTAAAGAAAGCTCTTGCTTCCAATTCCAAAATGGATCTTAGACACTTCCTATAACAAATGCTGGCAAAAGCTTCTGTCTTTATTTTCTCCAGTGGGTTTTTTGTTTGTTTTGTTTTCCCCAAACAGTGGACTCTTATCGTGCCAAGGGCTCTATTTTGGCTCCAAAACCTGGGTGTGCCTCTCCAGGGATGACTATGCTCATTTTAGAAAAATGTTTAATTTTAAAGATGTGGGGTACAATTCAGGGTTAGTATACAAATGTTCATTATGCAGGTACCCTTGTTGATGAGGTGTGCCCCCCACCCCCCACCCAGACTATGCTCAATTACAGATAGAAACTCAGGCCAGAGGGAGGTTCTGTTCTTTCAGCAAAGCATCAGGGTTGTGTGTACAGTGTTTATTTTATTGAAAAGAGGTGGTTCACTGCACCAGATGAGTAAGTGGTGTAGCCGTCCATGTGCTGAAGTGCTGGTCAGCAAATGAATGTGGTCTAGCCGTCCATGAGCTGCAGCACTGGTCATTAGATGAGTAAGTGCTGTAGTCATCTGTGCACTGCAACACTGATTTGCAGATGACAAGTGGTGTGGTCGTCCATGAGCTGCAACTCTGGTAACCTAGGAGTGTCTGGTGCAGTGTGTTCCCTGATTTTCACTGATTTTCTGGAACAATCCTCTGGTGGTTGACTGATCTTAGGCAAGCCTTTTACATCTTTGGGCCTTGGGCTCCTCAGCTGTCAGATGGATGATACCACCTCGTTAGTTGCCAGAAATGTTTCCAAGGTATGTGGTAGCCTATGTCAAGTGCCCCACATCAGTGCTGGTCACACAACACACCCCACCCTCACGCCCAGGCCCTTCTTTTTGCTGCTTTGCACGTGGCTGATCACTGTGGGTTTCCCGGACCCTTGGACCTGTGCCTAGTTGCAGGGATGACCTCTGTAGTGCTGAAAATGTAATTTGTCGCATACACTTGGGCCAGGGGTCATATTTTCGCCTTCTGGGTGAACGTCTCCCTGGTAAATGCTCATTTGTCCTCCCCTGCCTGGTTCTGTCCCTGTTCCCTGTTGCAGACTGTGTGTGTTTGTGTCTGTGTTGGGGACAGATGGGAGTGGGAGGGGATCTTGAGAATCAGTGCTCCTTCCGAAGCTCACAGCCTGGAAGCCAGGACACACTCACACACTCACAACCCGCCCCAGCCCTCCCCACACTGTCCCCCAGTCTTCTTTCGACGCACACCCTCCACTCAGGGCTTGCGAGGGCTGGGTGCCCGCCTTGCCTCCCCTGTGAGGCTGCCCCTTCATGTTCCCAGTGGCCGCTGCACTCGGAGAAGCGAGTGGGGACTGGGTGAAGTCACCGGGCCCCTCCCACCCAGAGCTCTCAGTGATGGCTTTGGTCACTGCTTAGGAGGACTCGGCCCCCACGGCTCCATTTCCTATTCCGAGAAAGGGAAGGGAGTCTCAGAGGATCCAGATGCTCTTGGTCAAAAAGATGCCGGTAGCATTGGGCGTGTTTTGAGCACGGGACACGGACAGCCTGAATGTAACCAGAGCCTGGTGCTGCCCACTCCCTGCTTGGTCACTGGACTCACAGAGACAGCGCGCCACACAATGCTGTCAGCAAGGGCTCTTCAGATGTTCACTTGGTTCCACGGAGGCCAAAATGGGGCCGTTCTGAATACCCAGGAGGCTCCCCGAAGCCATCTTCAGACATCTCTCCTTCCCGAGCTCTCCATCACACGTGGCTGCAGGACCATGCTCCTCTTCGCTCTCCTGAGGCCTCCGGAAGCCCAGTCACAGTCCCTCCCCACACACACCCTCGCCCGCTGTGCTTCCAGGTCATTTTCTCACCCATGACTCCTCTGGAAAACATGACTCTGCCTGTTATTCTGGAAGTTTTCTCTCACTTCTTGGAAAGTGAGACCCAGGATTTTCATGAGCAACATCTCCCACCTTGTTATATACACATCACCTCTTTGCATCCTCAACAGCTGTGCAGAGCTGGCAGGATCCAGCAGGTCACTGGACTCCACAGCTAGGTTCTCAGAAAAATGACCGTTTCGTTTTAAATGCCTGATATTGTTAGCACCTCCCTGTCCTTTGGCTGTGCCACATCTGCTCAAGAACCTTCCAGGACTCCCCAGTGCCTAGAGCAGGGGGCAGCAAACTATGGCCTATAGGTCAAAGCTGGCCTACCACCTGTCTTTGTAAATAAAGGTTTATTGGAACACAGCCATGCCCATTTGCTTACCTGTTTTCTACAGCTGCTTTCATGAGTCATTATAGCAGAGACCATATGACCTCCAAGGCCTAAAACATTTACTTTGGCCCTTCCAGAAGGAGTTTGCTGACCCCGGCCTAGAGAACAAGAGGTAACAGCATCTGCATTGGGTCCTCCTTGACGTGCTACCGCGCCTGTACTCAGTAAACACATTTCACGTCATGAACAAGAAGTCCACGCCATCACCTTGGAGCTACAGCCCCAACTCTGAGAAGACCCTTCAGAAAGCTCAGACTCCCCAACGTACCTGGTCCCCCAACAGCGACCTTGACCTTTCCAGAACTGTTGCAGACGTCCCCGCCTCCCTGGCTCTGGAGCAACAAGGCCAGTCCGGGTCCTTGAGGCCACTGCCCCTCACCTTAACGCCCACACCCTCCAGAAAGAAGCATGTCCTGCTCCTCTCCTTCTGAGGTGCAGCATGACACAGTCTTCTTTTCGGTTCAACAAAAAACAACATAATGTTGAATGTGCCTTCAAACTGTACTCAGCCTCCTTCATGATCGCCTCTGGTCTTGTCCAGCTTGTCATGTCGGCCCTGGGGAAACAGAGGCACAGGCAAAGGACTCAAAGGACCAAGGGATCCGCGACACATAAACAGAGTCAGGCTTCCTGGAGCACTCAGGTGTTCTCCAGAGTCTACTTCTTGCCAGTAGATAGACGGGGTGGGGGCAGGGAGGGCAAGGCAGGGCCCCTGTGCTGCCAGGGCCTCTACCTGGCCTCTTGGCACCCTCAAGCTAACTTGGCTTCTAAAGGGAGAGAGGTGACTTGGCCTGTGTTCTGTGACGCTGAGGCTAGATGGGGACAGGAACCCTGAGTTCCAGGCCCGGGCCAATGACAAGCAGCTCTGGACAAAGGATCCCCAGAGGGGCTGCGCAGCCCTCTTTGCGCCAGCCCGCTGCCTCCTTGCCTCTGCCTCCCCTTCACAGCTGTCTGCCTCTGTCACGCTGCTCCGTCCGTCAACAGGGTCAACACAACCCACATGTGTATGAATTCATCCGACGCTCTTCTAAAACAATTCGAATCAGTTGCCTATTTAAACACCAGCAGGAGTCAGCCAAAATATGGAATTTGATTCTCTTAAGAATCTGTGGACTGGCAATATGGGACCTGTGCTATTTTCTGGCATGACACCGACTGGCTGCTGGCTGGGGCTGAGGCAGCAGCTCCCTCTGGGGGAGGAACATACACATCAGGTCCCCCGTGTCCCCAGGTTCCCCATGGCCTCCCCGCTCTGTGCTGTGCTCTCTCAGGTGACAAGTCTGACCTTGGAAGGCATCTGCCACCCTAGTCTTGAACACTTGGATTAGAGCTCAGACCCCTCAAGCCCCACCACTATCTCCCATCCAGTTCATCAGACAAGACTCTCCTGCTCTGAGACGATCCCCAGCGATTAATCTGTCCACACCAGGCCTCCTGACCATCCTTTCATTCAGCTCAGCTCAAGTGTTGGGGGAGAATGTGCCCCAGTTGTTGTCCCAAACACTTGGGCACAAATCAGCCCTCCAGGCCCCCCTTCTCCAAGTCTCAAACCTCCTATGGTGATCATTCAGGAAACATGGCGACCAATCCAACATCCTTTATTGGTTCTAAAGAAGGACCCCCGCATTTTTATATTGAGGCAGGAGTTCTTGGATTTTATACCGAGGTGCTGTGATGGCTTCCACAATCCTTATTGGGGGCAGATATTTTTGGGATGCCATAAATACAGGATGACGGGGTTTAGTCTCCTTGTTGATCCTTAATGAGGGGAGGTATTTGGGGGACGCTTTAAACACAGGATGGTGGGGTTTCGTCTCCTTATTGATGCCACACAAATCCAGGGTCAGAGACTTAGGATCATAGATCCCCTTCTTGGACCGAATTGGGACGAATGGGGGACTTTGGCGAGGCTCCACCAGCAGCCGCAGCAGGTCCTTCCGGAAGACGTTCCAGCTGTTCTCCTGGAGAAACCTCTGGCACATGTCTTCATCGCTGGGGGGCGGGCACAGAGCTGAGGCTCTCATGCCAGCCCTTCAGGCCCTCCTCCTGCCACTCCTTCCAACCCGCAAGCGCACGCTGCTTCCTCCCACTTCTCTGCTTTCCCAGATTTTCCCTCTGCATCCGACTTTCTTCTCTTAGACCTGAGCTGTCCCCTGCAATGACCACAAGCTGCAGCTGGCTGCCAAGTATCTCAAACGTGGCCAGTCTGATTAGAAATGTGCTGTGAGTGTAAAATACACACCAGATTTCCAAGAGTTAGAACAGCAAAAGAATGTAAAATATCTCATTAATGATTTTTATATTGATAACATATTGCAATGATAATACTTTAGATATACTGAATTCAATAAAATAAAATATTATTGTATTTTATTTTTTGAGTTGGCGTCTCACTCCGTCGCCCAGGCTGGAGTGCAGTGGCATGCTTCTGGCCACCGCAGCCTTGACCTGCTGGGCTCTGATGATCCTTCCGCCTTAGCTTTCCAAGTAGCCAGAACTACAGGTGCACGCTACCACACCTGGCTAATTTTTTTGATTTTATTCTGGAGACAAAGCCTCACCAAGTTGCCCGGGTGGGTCTCGAACCCGCGGGCTCAGGCAATCCACTCACCTCGGCCTTCCAAAGTGCTGGAATTATAGGCTGAGCCACTGAGCCCAGCAAAATAAAGTATTAAAATTAATTTCACCTGATTCTTTTTACTTCTTATAACGTAGTTATTAAACATTTAAAATTATGAATGACCATTAACCATCAGGGAAATGTACATCAAAACCACAATGAGATACCACTTACACCCACTAGAATGGCTGCAACCAAAAAGAATAATAATAATAGGTAACAGGAATATGGAGATATTGGAGCAAGGATTCTAATACATTGCCAATGGGAGTGTAAATTAGGGCGGTCGCTGTGAACAGTCTGGTGGCTCTTCAAAAAAGTTAAACATGGAGTTACCATATATCACAGACACTCCACTCCTAGGTAAATACCTAAGATAAATGGAAATATACGTCTATACTTTGAGAGGCCGAGGTAGGAAGATTGCTTGAGTCCAGGAGTTCAAGACCAGCCTGACTCTACAAAGAATACAAACTAGGTGTGGTGGCATAAGTCTGTAGTACCAGCTACTCAGGAGGCTGAGACGGGAGGATCACTGGAGTCCAGGAAGTAGAGGCTATGGTGAGCTGTGATCATGCCTCTGCACTCCAGTCTGGACAATAGAATGAGAGCCCAACTCAAAAAAAAAAAAGAACCCAGAGGTCAGCATAGACTATTAGCTAGTCTTGTCACCCTCAATGCTATGATGAAGCCAACTTACACCTGCTCATGGAACTGATTGTGTGCTCTTCTCAACTGCATGTCTAATGACATCAGGTGGGTAGTTTGAAATTGGTCATGGTGGGAATATTTATACCACATAAATCAGCAAACATTACAAGCGTGGATTTCCTCCCACCACTTGGAGAGTGGAGCCACCAGACACTGGCTAGTCTTCACTTTAAAAGTTCCATTAACTCCCAGTGTCTTACATAATAAGTAACAACAATATCTGACTCTAACTTAAGGACCTGCCACATGTCAAGCACTTCACATTGGTTAATGCATTTAATTTTCACAACCAACATGAAAATCGGAGCGAGGTTCAAGGACTCACCAAGACCCATGAGGGGGCAAGCCTGTGATGACTAATTAACCTTAGGGGATAATTTTTTTTGACCCTGAGTCCAAATTAAGACAGACAAGTCACCTCCTGATGCTGGTGGTATATTGATTTCCAGTCTGTTTTTTCACTGACTGGGTAGTTCTTCTAGCAAGGCCTCAGTTACAATCTCCTACCTCACTTGAACTGAAAGCTTCCTCTGTCCTTGCAGGCTTTCGAAATGCAGCCCGGGATACCCTTCAGCCCTCCCAGGCAATCCCAACATGGGTTCACCCTGTCTGCTTGCTTTGAGATCCTCTTCATCTGGGCCCTTGGGGATCTCCGGCTTTCTTGTGGCTTCAGCTATTCTTTCTACCCCGTGTGGCACCCCCATGCCCTGTGGGGTGATTTTCAGGTTATCCAGCCCACATTTGCAGATCAGGGCCTCTGCTACCGGCTCTGGGATCCTCAGGACCTCAGGGGCCTCAATTAAAACATGAGGGATTTGAGCCAGACAATGGATATGTATTCTGCCTGGTTTAGCAGTCTAGAAAACCATGAGTTCAACAATAATGAAAAACACTGTCTGTCAGCGTTAGAGATGAGGGCAGAACGTGCTGACTGCAGGGCAGATACTGAATGCCCCACCTGCCCCCTCAAGTCTGGGTGAGTTTCAGTTCGACAGCTGTTAACTGCTGCCCGTCATGTGCTGGGCATCGAGTGAGGAGCAAAGGCTTCTGAACTCCTTGTCTAAGGAGGTTCTGAAGAGCCATTTTCTTTCTTTCTTTTCTTTTTTTTTTTAAGACTGAGAAGGTTCTAAAGAGTCATTGTCTTTCTTTTTTTAACACTGAGTCTTTTTTTTAACACTGAAAATTATTTTAATAGTCACAAAACTTTTTTTTTTTTTTTTTTGAGTTGGAGTCTTACTCTGTCGCCCAGACTGGAATGCAGTGCCGCTCCCGGCCACCGCAGCCTCGACCTGCTGGGCTCCGGCGATCCTTCCGACTCAGCCTTCCAAATAGCTGGAATTACAGGCGTGCACTACCACGCCCGGCTGATTTTTTGATTTATTATAGAGATGAGGTCTCGCTGCCCAGGTGGGTCTCGAACCCACGGGCTCAGGCAATCCACTCACCTCAGCCTCCCAAAGGCGCGGGATTACAGGCTGAGCCACTGAGCCCGGCCACAAAACTTTTTTTGTAGAATCAGTATAAAATAGCAGTTGATGTCTCCATAATTATCAGGATTACTTATCAGTATTATTTATACTTGAGTGAGGCTGAAATCAACAAAAGGTCTTGGACTGTTGGCTCAGAAATCATCCTAGGAAGTCCGCCCTGTTGACAGAAGTCATGCTTAGCTCTTATGAGATGACCCAGTCCTTTAAAAAAAAGTATCTCTCCTTCTTTATTCATTCTTTGGAGGCTTGAAGTAAATTCAGCAGTGTTCATTAAACCCCTTCCATCTTCTGTCATTTACTACTTCTTTAACATTCAGTTCTGACTGCATTCATTTTAACTTTGTCTGCTCTTTTCTAAGTTGCTTTAACAACGTTAAATCATCCAAATTCTTTCTCTCTCTTCTCAAAGATTTTTTACTACTGTTGAGGTCTGGGTTATCCAATTTTTAATGACTCTATCCCTACTGGCGTGAGCTGCCATTAACTGGAACAGGGTGAACTCTTCACAGTTCACACTGCCACTGGGTGCTGCCATATTGGACCAAGAGCCATTTTCTACAGTCAGAGGAGTGTGGCATCTTGGAATGAGGAACCACTGTTATTTCTTGACTTGTTTTTCTCACAACACTGTATCAGTTTTTATCAATTTATCATCTGTTCTTTAAATTTACTGATGATGAAGGCTGGGGGCTGTGGCTCACATCTATAATCCCAGCACTTTGGGAGGCTGAGGTGAGAGGATTGCCTGAGTCCATGGGTTCGAGACCACCCTGGGCAACTTGGCGAGACCTCATCTCTACAATAAATAAAAAAATTAGCTGGGTGTGATGGCGCACACCTGTAGTTCCAGCTACTTGGAAGGCTGAGGCGGAAGGATCACCTGAGCCCAGCAGGCTGAGGCTGAGGTGGCCATGAGGGTGCCACTACCCTCCAGCTGAGGCAATAGAGTAAGACTCCAACTCATAAATAAATAAATAAATATACTAATGATGTTTCTTAAATCTACTCAGTTTCTTTTACTTAGATATTTGCTTTAACTTTGTCCTAAGCGACAAGATCTGTCAAATCCCAGAGTTAGTTAGACATGTTTTTCCAATTGACACTAGAATAAATACATACTGTTAAAACTAAAAATGTCAGTTGGTGTACCCCTAATATCATCTCATAAATCTCCTGTAGAATTGGTTTTATGCTTTGGGAAACACTGATCAAGTCTAATTTTCTTGTTTTGCTGATTGGAGTCTGAACCCTAAAGGAGGGGGAACTATTGGTCCAAGTTCCAATGCCTCTCACATCGAGTCTTAGTGTGCGACTGGCTGTGGATCTGCCTGCCTTCCCACCTCCTCTCTCCACCACTAGAGTCATCTACTTTTCACAGCTGCTGGCAAACCACGCCAGATCACATCACCACAAGCAAAGAGAAAAGGGAGGATGCAAACTTGTATACTCAGTAGGAGCTCCAATATGAAAACCATGTACATGAATGATAAATGCACATCTGGCACATACTAATGAGGTGGAAAAACACTAAAAGGAAATACACAAAATGCTAACTGGATTGCTGGAGGATTACAAATGGTTTGGGTCCTCTCCCACACACACCTTTTTTTTTTTTTTTTTTTTTTTTTTTTGAGTTGGAGTCTCACTCTGTCACCCAGACTGGAGTGCAGCAGCCGCTCCCGGCCACCGCAGCCTCGACCTGCTGGGCTCCGGCGATCCTTCCGCCTCAACCTTCCAAGTAGCTGGAACTACAGGCGCGCGCTACCACGCCCGGCTAATTTTTTATTTATTGTAGAGATGAGATCTCGCCAAGTTGCCCAGGCAGGTCTTGAACCCGCCGGCTCAGGCGATCCACTCACCTCGGCCTCCCAAAGCGCTGGGATTACAGGCTGAGCCACCTAGCCCGGCCACACCTTTTGTTTTTGAGGCAGGATCTCTCTCTGTCACCTGGGCTGGAGTACAGTGGCACAATCATAGCTCACTGCAGCCTCAACCTCCTGAGCTCAAGCAAATATCCTGCCTCAGCTTCCCTACAGGCATGTGCCACCATGCCCTCTAAATTATTTTTATTTTGTAGAGATAGGGGCCTCACTATGTTGTCCAGGCTGGTCTTGAACTCCTGGCCTCAAGCACTTCTCTTGCCTTAGCCTCCCAAAGTGCTGGGATTACAGGCATGAGCCACCAGGTCTGGCTAGTTTTTGCCTTTTTTTACTGTTCAGCATTTTCCAATTTTCTACAATGAATATGGCCCACTCATTCAACATTTATTGAGCATCTATTGCATGCTGGGTACTGTACAGATGCTAGAGATGAAAGGCAGATAAAGCACAGCCTTCATAAAGCACTTAAGTGGTGAGGAAAGAGTTGCACAAACAGATAACTATGTCACGACATGGAGCGGTCAATGACAGAGTAGTGTGCAGAAAGGGGTACGTATCCAAAACTAGGTTGGTCAGAGAAGGTTTGCTGGAGAAGAATCTTACAGAATCAGCAGGAATTTACCAGAAAAGGGAGGGCAGGACTAAGGAATAGCATTTCAGGCAGAAGGGCCTTGGCAAAGACAAGGCATGTGCAGGAGCTCGCAAGCCAACTGCCCAGGTGGCCAGAGTGGGTTAGGGTGGCAAGAGGTGCTGCAGGGGACTTGAGTGAGGGCCAGATTATGAATGGCCACTTGGTTAGCGTTGAGCCTGGACTTTATCCTGTAGGCAGGCAGATACTTGAAAGGTTCTAAGCAGGAGTTTAACACAGCCAGGTTAGGGTTTCAACAGGAACACCATGTATAGAAAGGATCTGAGGCAAAGAGACTGAAGGAGGGACCAGTAGTAAGACTCTCGCAGGAGCTAAGGCCAGAAGCCCCAAAGTCCCAGAGTGGGGATGGGGAGACATGTTGCCCAGGGGGTGCAGGATTCATTGGAGTATGTGGAGAGCACAATAGGACTTTATTGATCTTTGTTTTATGCTGTTTAAAGATCCATTTTATATGTTGATAATATATATTAGTACAATAACACTGTATGTGAATACAATACATAAAATAAATTAATTAACATGTTTGATTTATATTATAATTTGTTTAGGAGATACATGCTCAAATGCTTTTTAGTAATAGCAGTGTGAGATAAAAACAGTTTTGAGACCACTGGTCTGGGCAATACATTGATTTTTGCATTTAAAAAGTTATTTTTCCCATTATAAAAGCTTTAACTTTCACTCTGGAAAATTTGGAAATGATGAAAAAGTAAAAAGAAACATTTTAAAAATCTAATCTTTCAAGATACATATTTATTTTTTAAATTATAAAAGTAGTATGTCATCATTGCCAAAAGTTTGGAGAATAGGAAAAAACAATAACATAAATCCACTCTGAATGGTCTACCCTGACACAACGCTTTAAAAATTCATTTTTTTCCCCCTTATTATAAAAGCAATACAGACTGGGCATGGTGGCTTAAGCTTGTAACCCCAGCACTTTGGGAGGCTGAGGTGAGAGGATTGCCTGAGTTCAGGGGTTCGAGACCAGCCTGGGCAACTTGGTGGGACCTCATCTCTACAATAAATAAAAAAATTAGCCAGGTGTGGTGGCGCACACCTGTAGTTCCAGTTACTTGGAAGGCTGAGGCAGAAGGATCGCCTGAGCCCAGCAGGTCGAGGCTGCAGTAGCTATGAGCATGCTACTGCACTCTAGCCTGGGCAATAGAGTGAGAGTCCAACTCAAAAAAAAAGAGCAATGCATACTCACTGCAAGAACAAACATGAGCAGAGTATGTAACACAGAACTAGAAAGTCCCCTTCAGTCTCACCTTCTAGAGGAAGTAACTGTTACCTCAGCCATGATCATTTTTGCTTGCTTCCTTCTAGGCTTTTCTCACTCAAGTGCTTCACAAAGGCATATAGTATATATACAATTCTGCAATGCCTTTTTTAGATATCAGTATATCACCCATTTTTCCTTGCTATTCCAGAGCCATTAAACTTACCATTTCAAAATAAAACAATTATGTTCTACCAAGGAAACGTGCCATAACCTCCTGAACTACCGCTTTAGAGCAGTGCATATGTATGCTGCTGTCAGTGCTCTTCCCTCTATTATGAATAGCTATGAACACCTTAATACAGTGGCTTTACTCATATTTTGACTGTATAAGTTCACAGAGAAAGCGCTGCCTGGGGGGACAGGACAGTTTTATAGCCCTTGAAATATGATGCTAAAATTATTATCAAAAAGATTGAGCCAATTTACAGTGTACCAACAACTACTGGTTTCATTTCACCCTTGTCAGCATTAGATATTATCATTTTTTTTTTTACTAAAATAACTGTGAAAAGTTGTTTCTTTAATCTGATGGGATTTGTGCACACTTCCAGTACTGACCTGGGGTACTCAGGCTTGACCCTTGACAACTTTTTTCTTATCTCGTCATCAATGAGATCATAAAATCTATCTTTTCTCATCCGTATCACCTCAGTTCCCAAGCTCATGAGGATCAAGGGTCGCATGTCACGCTCGTTTTCCGGGAGGAATATCTGGTGAAGGCCCTAGAGAGAAGTCACAGAAAATTAGTCCTCAGTGATCGGTCAAAATCTAGAAAATTCGGAGATTTTCTACATGGGAAAAAGGCGGCCTGAAGCAGGAGGTGATATACCTGGGCTCACCGAGCAGGTGCTGGGGAGAGTCCAGGGCCCTGTGCCCCGTGACCTGGAAGATGCGGGAATGAGAAGAACCCCGAGAGCTCACCTGTGGCGCTCTCCTTGCGGAGGAGGCCCTGCTCCAAGAAACACAGTCCGCTGTCATTCTTGGTGCTCCACCGTGTCCTGTTCAGTGCCACTTTTTTGCCAAGTGAGCCTGTTTCTCTTCTGCAGAATGTGCGCTCACACTCTCCTAGGCCTTCCCTGCAGCCCCCACCTCCCCTTTCTGCAACCTCCACACTCTCTCTATCCCTTGTGACCTTTGGTGGCCGCCAGCCCTGATCTCTGCAGCTCATGCTGCTCCTCCAGCTCCTTGACTTGGATTCGTACTCGGTTACATCTGGAAGGGAACTGGAGCTCGACCGGCACATGTGCATGTTGTAGCCACTGTAAACACCTGATCGCTTGCTCTATGGAAGTGTAAGCCCCTTCTTAAAGAAGCATCCTAGGATGGGTGGTGCCAGGGCTGGAACCCTTTTTGCTGAACTCCCAATCCAGTGCTCACTCTTCAGCTTCTCAGCTACTAAAGAAGGCTCAGGCAAGGAGATGCAGGGAAAACCAGTGGCCCCAGAGCCGGCAGGGCCCAGCTGTCTTGGGTCATTGTTTGCTACCCTGTGAAACGAATTTGAGGACATCTGCCCACAGTCTCTGAAGGACTCTGGATTTGAAAAGAGATGTGACATGTGATTTGAAACACACATACCCTACCTTATCCCAAACCATTTGGGTTCTAGACTTTGAATATGACCATGTACAGACCCGTAGGTGCTCTGAGCCCCGGCTTCATCTCCCCTTAGTGACTGGACTGAAGACGTGCCACCTTTCCTGTGAAGCCACCGAAGGACTCGACAAGATGGCGCATGTGAGGAAGCTCTGGGGACACAAAGCCTTTGAGGGCTTCTTGCATGTGGCACAGTGGGCACCAAGGCCCCCAGCCAGAGCCAGGCCTGGCACAGAGGCCACCATGGCTGCCTTGTACCCAGCTGCTCCCGTGTGGAGGAAACACAGACAAAACTGCAGTCTTCACAAGCGCCCTGGGACATAGGGAGTGTCATCCTCAAATGTGGAAAATGAAGTTCGGTAAAGGGAGGGTCATGCATCTCATCATGACAGCGTGACGATGGTGATCATAACAGCCAGCTATCGTGTGTCGAGCATTCGCTGAGCCCCAGGACACCGAGCCTCATTTCACCCTTACAACCCAAGGGTCTCTCATTTTACAGATGAGGACGTCGAGGTTAAAAAAAATTGTCCAGCTGGGCTCGGTGGCTCAGCCTGTAATCCCGCACCTTTGGGAGGCTGAGGTGAGTGGATTACCTGAGCCCACGGGGTCGAGACCCGCCTGGGCAGTGAGACCTCATCTCTACAATCAATCAAAAAATCAGCCGGGCGTGGTAGCGTGTGCCTGTAATTCCGGCTACTTGGAAGGCTGAGGCGAAAGGATCGCCGGAGCCCAGCAGATCGAGGCTGCGGTGGCCGGGAGCGCCCACTGCACTCCAGTGTGGGTGACAGAGTGAGACTCCAACTCAAAAAAAAAAAAAAATTGTGCAACATCACACAGCATGAAAGCAAAAAACTGGAATTTGAGCCTAGGTGGTCTGTCTTCAGAATCCACGTTTTCAGTCACTACAGTTAGGAAACAGGCACAGAGTGGTTATGTAACCTGCCCAAGGTAACAAACCACAGAGTGGTGGAGCCGGAATCTGAGCCTGGGGATCTGTCTAGAAGTGCTGCTCTCCTGCCTCCAATCCACCCCTCCCACCTCCAGAGCTGGGTCCCTTCTCTGTCAAGACGTTCCAAGTAGCTTCCCAAAGCACCCAGGATTAAATACATCACTGTGGTTACAAGGCCTGGGTGCTCTCACCCTCACCAGGTTCTCCAGTCCAGCCTTCTGCCGCCACGATCCTGTGTCCTCTGTTCCAGACACCATGCTCTCTCTTCCAGCCCCCTCAACATATCACGCTTCTTCCCGCCTCAGGCTCTGAACTTGCTGTTCCTCTGTCTGGAACATTTTCCCACCAGGTCACTCCATAGCTTCTTCTCATCATCCAGGTTGCAGCGGAAACACCACTTCCTCAGAGCAACCCTCCCTTGACACTCCGTGTAAGAAGTCTGCCACCCCACCCTGCTTTCCATTCCATTCCTAACAGCAACGTGCAACTGTCTACACGTTTGGTAGCTTATGTTTGTCCCAGCTGTCCCATGAGGGCAGGAATTAGGTCACTGACTCACTCACACTGGTTCCTCATGCCATACTGGGAGCATGGAAGATGCTCAAGGAATAGCAACTGACTGGATCAGGTGGAGTCACACGGCATTAGAGGCAGCAGCCTTTTCAGATTAATGTTCACGTTTCCAATACAGAGTCCATAAGGTCAAGTGATCTGCCCAAGGCCACACAACTGGCTAGTAGAAGTGCCATGAGAGTAAAAGCCCCACCTCCACCTCTCATCTGCTCTGCCCATCACTCTGGCCTGCCCACTTGACCACGCCTGAGGTCGCAGCCTGCCTGTCCCTTGGAGAAGTTGATTCTCCTGTATCTCATGGCTCAAAGGTTGAGTCTCTCTATTTCAGGCCCTAACTCTGCTGTTCCCAGGGCAGACCCAGCTCCACACTCCTGCTCCCCAGGGCAAGGACAACGGGACCCACCCTCTGGCGATGGCTGCAACCACAGAAGTCCCTACAGCTCATTCTCCTACGGTTGAAGCCAGGGCCTTGAAACAGGGAGAAGAGAGTCCTACCACAGACACCTCAGGGACACACCCACAGACATCTTCTTCAAAGGGATTACATTAGGCCAGGTGCAGTGATTCACACCTGCCATCCCAGCACTCTGGGAGGCTGAGGTGGGAGGATCATTTGAGCTCAGGAATTAAAGACCAACCTGGGCAACATAGACTCCATCGCTACAAAAAAATTTTATTATTTATTTATTTATTTATTTATTTTGAGCCAGAGTCTCACTCTGTCACCCAGGCTGGAGTGCAGTGGCATGCTCAGGGCTACCACAGCCTTGACCTGCTGGGCCTAGGCAATCCTTCTGCCTTAGCCTTCCAAGTAGCTGGAACTATAGGCGTGAGCCACCATGCTCAACTAATTAAAAAATAATTTTAAAAATTAGCTAGGCATGGTGGTGTGCACCTATAGTCCCAGCTACTCAGGAGGCTGAGGCAGTAGCTGAGGGGAGGAACTAGTTTAAAACCGCCAAAGGCAGAGTTGGAGCTGGAGGGTGCAGTGAGCTATGATCGTGCCACTGCACTCCCACCTGGGTGACAGAGGGAGCCCCTGTCTAAAAGAAAAGCTGGGATGAGGTCTGGCCCTGTGTTGGGGAGAGGCAACAGGACTTTGGGCTGAGTTTCTACCTAAAATCTTCCAGGTCTTCCAGAGAATCAAGACCTAATTCCCTGTTCCGGTATTGCGGGTCCTCAACAAAACAGACCCTGTTGTTCCTGTTCCCTACAAAGCACCCCACTCCTGTCAACATTACCACACAGAGCAGGGCCCATCTCACGTTCTGTGCCTCCGCCCTACCCTGGGTGCCCAAGGGGCCCTCCGTGCCCTGTGGTCAGTTCTGAGCACCTCACTCTGAAACACTGGAAACTACACTTCATTGAGGGAAGGAATGGAGGGTGCTCGGCTTGAATAAGGAAATAATTAATGAAACATTGGCACTGTCCCTGGCTGCAGAAATGCTGAATGAACAACAAAACAGCATTCTTGGCCTTGTGCAGTGGCTCACACCTAAAATCCCAGCACTTTGGGAGGCCGAGGTGAGAGGATTGCCTGAGCTCCCTGGTTTGAGATCAATCTGGGCAACTTGGCGAGACCTCATCTCTACAGCTGAACGTGGTAGTATGTGCCTGTATTTCCAGCTACTTGGAGGGCTGAGGCGGAAGGATCACCTGAGTCCAACAGGTTGAGGCTGCAGTGGCTGTGAGTGTGCCACTGCACTCCAGCCGGGGCGACAGAGTGAGACTCCAATTCAAAACATCCAAAACAAAAAACTCCAACATTCTTTAAATACTTAAGGGGTCATCACATGGCCAAGGCAGGGAATGGAGAGGAGCTAAAGTTGCAGGATTTTACCAACAAAGGAAGAAGCTGAGGTGAGTGATTGCCCGAGCCCGCGGGTTCGAGACCTGCCTGGGCAACTTGGCCAGATCTCATCTCTACAATAAATAAAAAAATTAGCCGGGCATGGCCACTGCACTCCAGTCTGGGCGACAGAGTGAGACTCCAACTCAAAAAAAAAAAGAACTTCCTAAAAGTTCGAAAATATCCCATCAGTGCTGATGGAGGGTCATTTCAGGGTCAACCCACCATAACATGGACTGAGACAGTTGTAGGGACAGTCTTGGAGACTCTGGCTGAGAAACAGCTGGAGGGGCTTGGTGAGGAGGTGGATTCCCAGATGCTGGCTGACAGGCCTGGGCCTTGGGAGACTCTGCAGGGAGGCTGGGCTCTGCAAGTGGGCTGAGGCCATTGCTCCTCTCCAAAGCCCTCTGGCCTGCGGGCTCTGCCCCTCCCACACTCCGCCTGCCACTCAGCTCTGACACTGCCACCAGCTTCCTGTGATCACCTCCCAGCCGAGCATGGCTCATTCTATTCCCTTCCACGAATGGATTTTTAAAAATTGATCTATAGCTTAGAACAGTTTTAGATTTATAGAAAAATTGATAAGATAGTACAGATAGTTCTCTTCGAGCTCTCAGCCAGTCTCTCCTGTTGGTAACATCTCACATTAGAGTGTCTTTGCCACAATACATTATGATTAGCTGACATCAATGAATTATAATACCTGGGTTTCCTGTTTTACCCACTGTCCTTCTTCTTTTCTACTATCCTATCCA